AGCCTCATACGTCGATCTAATTCGAGTGGAAATTTCTCGTGGTTTAGCTTTGGTAAATCGTGTGTATACATATGCGAGAGGGGGTGGGAAAGGGGTCGTACAAGTTGTGCTGCGAAGGCATTATAAATCATGGATGTGTGTGGGATGGGGATGTGTCGAAAATTTTCGAAGCAAGAATGACTCGACAGGGATTTTACCGTGGGTGGTGCAAAATGACCGACCATTTGGGTCAATTCGATATTACATTCTTCACAAAACATTAAATCCGGGGGGGAAGTCGAAATAAAAGGGTAACGCAGTAAAAATACTCGGGTAAGCAAAGAATTTTTTTATGAGATTTCAGTGGAGAAGAGGACTTCGGGAGAATTTGCTGTGTGAATTGACTGGGGTATTATCGATATTTAGGGTAAGTGCCACTAAATTAATGCTGGGGTATTAATTCGGTGCATATGGTTGTTCGGTTGGAGTGATTGAAATTTCTGAACTGTGTTTCCATTAGGCCGCCTCCCGAGTGTTCATGAATAACAACTCGCGGATTTTGTTATTGGAGATTTGACGTAAGTGATACGTTAATGGAAAATTCTGGTTTTAACAGAATATAAATTTTACATGAGTATTTTGTGGTGAGAGTCATCATTATTGAAATCCTGATAGGAATGAGATAATTGATAGATATAATTGAAAAATTACCAGAGTGAAAATTATTTCAGACGAGCCCGAGGTTTGATCAAAACTTGATATGGCGGTTGTCAGTGTCAATTGATCAGGCAGAACTTGATGACAAGCTGATCAGTCTTCGATCTATCCAGCCTGATCCGTACTGCTCTGATCAGGTTCTGATATGGTGTGCTTGATCTGAACCTGTAGTTTGCTCATCTGTGATAATTCTGATCAAGTTTGGATGAGGTGGGCTGGAACATAAACTGACTTCGCCTGTAACCATTCGGATCAGGTTCTCATCAGGTAAACCTGATCTGAAATTGAGCTGTCCGCCTGTAATTACTCTGACCAAGTTCGGATCAGGTGGACCTGAACTTGAACTGTGATCCACCCGCCTGCAACTATTCGAATCAGATTCTAATCAGATCAACTTGACTTGAAGCTTGAACTAAATAATTTAATTATTAGCTTATTATTGTTATTATTATTATTATCAAAAGTATAATGGGTGAAATTTTAATTAAATAAATTTTCGCTTCTTAAAGTGAACCAATATTTCCAATATACATCGTATAACCAAAACAGTTCACTCAATAATAATAAAGCTTAAAGATAGTCTAGTGGTTAGGGCCTAACCGTTAGAGCATAGGATTAGTACTCGTAAGATCTCCAGTTCGATTCCCAGTGGCAACACAAATAATTAGGTTTCTTCAGCATTAATTATAGTAGGTATCCACTGTTAGAGGTAATATAATGTGAAAAAATGATCAATTTTTTATTTTAAATTTATTATCATTGATAAATATCTTTAATATCGGTTATCAAGAACTAATCCGTTTTGTTTGATCAAACCCTGATCCGGCGTGACGAATGTTACATGCTTGATCAAGTTCTGATCTAATTGGAGGAACACAAGGTACCTGACCCAACATCAAGTCTGACTTGCTCCGAACTTGATCCAGACCTGAGCTAATTTTCCACTCGAAGATTTCTGGGGAGGAAGCGGCGGCAGCAGTCACGCGGATGGTGTGTAACTTCGGTGGTCGTCCAAAGCAACGTTTAGTTGGGCTAGTAATTGGATGGGTGTCCGCTTAGTTACACCTTCTGCGTGGAGATTGCCGGCGTTGGGAACGGATGTAGAGAGCTACTGTGTTTAGCGAGTCAGTGTGACTGATAAATACAGCAGAGTCCCTGCATTACCGTCCGTAATGAGACTGAAATTAGATTTTCCATTTTTTCCCTCAGTGCAAGCCAAATGGGTGCAGTTGAAAAAAGTCGATCCATTGACAAAATATTCATGCGTGCGGATAGAGTTGACAAATTAATGCGCTTCGGGCACTCGTTATGCTAGAATATTCAATGATTATCAATGATTGTGAGTCGTTATGCTAGAATATTCAATGGTTATCAATAATTGTAGGAAATTTCATGGATCCGTTCAATAATTTTCGGTGACTGGCGGGCTCAAAAATAACATTTCATAATTAAATTTCATAAAAAATATTGCTTGAACAATCAAAAACATTGAAAATTAAAAGAGATAATTTTATTAGTAGAGATATCCGAAAAATATTTCTAAAAAAGAAACTCCAAGCTCACCACCAGCTCCTCTCCGCCAAAGGCAACGGACGACCAGAAAATCCTCCAAAACGAAAATCAACAAATTGATCGTAGCAAATCCGTAGAAATAAATTCCACAACGGACATACAAATACCCCTAATCCTCATGTATAGAAGAAAAAAAAACTTCAAATTCAGTACAAAATAAAATTAACAAAACGAACGAATTCGAAATGAATTCCATTGGACATGAAAGTAGCGGGTAAAGGTAGTCCAAGCAGCAAGGAGTCCTGATATTTTAATCAGGATTATCTAAAACTCCGGTCGCCAATGCGTTATCCATTCCCCTAGAGCCATAGCGATGGCGTAGATTCCGTACCGGGTGTCATGCTTCCGATAATTATACGTTAGTCAAATCTGTGGATGGGGGAGTGTCTGTATGTAAAGCGGGGTGAGACGATGATGCAGAGCCAGTTGCCGTAGATGCTAAAGCTAGCGTGGATATTGCCAATGGCATTCACCAAACGATAGAATCCTCAGGGATAGAAGAGGAAGCAAATGTGTTCGGAGATAGGAAAAAGGATGAAAGAGAAACGAAGACCGAGATGGATATGAGGGGACCAACGATAAGGGGACGATGGGGGGTGGGTAGATGGTAAGACAACGGCGTTAATGCAAAACGCTATATAGTGATGGGGTTAGGGTTTGAGATATAGGAAAAGGTATGCAGGAGCGTTTCTTGCAAGAATAAGAGAACAGGATCGCTGGGGATGTCCCGGGATTCTGTCCTCTATCGATCTCTCGGCCTTGTATATAGACACTAACTTGTGCCCTCGACGAATCGCCTAGGTACCTGTGTATATCCATTGGTTGTATGTATACCACGAGTGCAGAGTGCTCTTGTCTCACTTTATTTTGCACCCTCGGCCGCGCCAGTGGAAAAGAAGAGGAGAGAAAAGACAAGGGGCTGAGAGACAAGTGGAAAACCCCGGGGGATATACGAGTGTTGGTGGACCCTTGATACCAGTATCAATGGATATGAAGTCATTGGTGTGCAATGTCGATGTGTGCGGGTTTGTTGGTAGATCCTTTATCCCCGAGCTCACGCTATTGAGAACTGCATGATCCACCTCTATCAGATAACCACTCTCACTCGGCTTTGAAATATTTCGAGTGTTTTAATTTTTTCTTCCACACCCTCTTCTCCAGGTACCGGTGGATGGGGTGGAATTCTGTGTTATGTTCTAGTCGGTGCAACAGGCTGTCTTTTAAAGATGGTGGTGTCTTTCTCAGACGCTATTATCCTCTCTCGCTCGCCTTTAAAACGGTACAACTGATAGTACATGCATGCTTGTGGGCTTGATAATGGAGGCTACAATGGCTTTGAGTAACTAAGACCTAACGCGGTGGAGGAGGCATTACCGTGCTTAAGAGACGTGGATTCACTGTTGTGGGGTGTTGTTGCGCACACATGCAATAGGGGGTGTGTAAGGGGAGAGGCTCCATTGCAATGTATCATCCTGGAGCGTCCGTGCCAGACCCGACAACTTGTCTTCCTATATTTTCGTTTTCTCCACAAAGGCAAACACACACTCCAAGCGGTGGCGGAACTTGTTTGAAAAATATTGCACAGCGCCAAGTCGAACGCGTGTTTCGACTTTTTCACCTTTTTCAGCGTTTTTTTATTTATTTATTTATTTATTTTTCAACATGTTCAAGTGTTTATTTAGTTTGATTTTTTTTCTATCGGAGGAGATCATGTATATCGGCAGAATCGTGAAAACTCGTACGAGTGAAGAAATCACTTCCCATCCCCATTCGCATCCTCCATTTCTACTCTTTAAACTCACGAGAAGTTCCCAACAAAAGTTTTCCTCCTCCCTATCTATTCTCTTTTCGACGAGTATACGAGTTGCTTTTGAATTTTCTTAGCTGTTCTCTTTTTTTCGAGGTTTTTTATATTCACCGAGGCAGCGAGACAAACTTGGAGAATAATCCCCCACTTGGGAGCAAAGGGGTCTCGAAAGAGGAATGGGGGGATTTTGGGGACGAGGGGGTAAAGGAATAGGGAGAGGAAATGGGGGTGGATGGTAAATCTGGGTACAAGAGACTCCTGGGCGTCGATGAGCTTAATTATTTCAGAAACTCAGTGCACCACGACCCCCTCGCTAGCTTCTTCCTCTTAGTCTCACTCCACCCACTTTCTCAAACTCTATATCCACTTCTACATGGCAGGGGGTATAGCCTGTACGCTTATTCGATAATTAGCGTGCCTCAACCGGATGACTCGAGCGAAGGTACGTGGAAATACCAGATCATCGGTTAAATTCTCGTAGCATCACAATTAATTTTCTGCTTCGGCGGTTGGCATTGCCGTTTGCATATTTTAGTGTTCAAAACCTGAAATTGCTGTTGTCAATTTTTCTCAGAAATTTACGAGAAAATTCGTGGTTTTGAGGGCTGATTGCGTGGAAAATTTATGAGTACGAAATACTACTTGACGGACTTTCTGTGACTTCAGCAACTCCAGCTATTACATTCAATTAGCTAGACTGCTTTATTAAGCCTTGCGGTTTATTATTATAAGACTTCCTTAAGTTTTCTGAAGCCATAATCCGTCAGCTCATTAAACTCCTTTCACGCGCATCCAGAAAGTAAAAAATATCGATGAAATTGATGGTTGGACCGATTTCCGAGCAAAACTTCGAGAAAGTACTCAACGCTGATTGAATTGATTATCGGTTCACATTATTATTCATTATAAAAATTCGGCATACAGAGATTCTTGAATATTTTAATACAGTCAATAGTGCAATAAATATAAAATTTTTAATTAGTCACATAATACGTGTGCAAACAGAACAATAAATGTATATTAACATAAAACGATTATTTATCATTTTTGAAACGTTGGAGAACTCAGGCGAAACTGATCACTGGAATCACAGAGATTATAACCTATTGATAAGGCAATCAAACGACAAATTCGTTACCATTTTTAAACAATAAAATTTCTTTCATAGTGAGTACGTCGTTGTAAATTAATCACAATATGAAGAAATTCCAAGGGATTTCCACTTAATTCCTATTTCTGGGCATCAGTGCTAGGTTGGTCGCTAAATGGGGGATTTTTTAATTTGTATTTTTATTTTTATCTGATTAAGTGATCGAACTAAATAATCTATTACGGCTCAACTTAGCCCGTGCATAAAAAATAACATAATTTTTTAATAAGCGACAATTCATTTCCGCTCAGAGCGAAGCCATTATGCCTAAAGTACGGAGGAATTTTTCCGCGTTAAATGAAAGGGTCCTTGATGCAACGTTGCCGAAAACCCACCAAACGCGTCCGAATGGTGTAGAATATATTCGGCAACGTTGCCGTTAAAATAAACGCAACGACGTTCTGCGGTAACGGTGACCAAGACTAAGAGACTAAGATAAAAACATTGCGTTGTGCTATCAATAGATTTCGAATTTTATCCCAACTTTATGATGGGATATTTTAATTTATCCTTTTAGCTGTGTTGAGGATTGGAGGGCGACAATGGCGATGATTATTTTTCTCTCACAGTTTGATAAGCTTAGCCCACTCCTTGGGAAATTTACGTTGAATGTGAGACATGACTTTCTTTATTTGTAGGGCCTCCTCAGAAGTACACTTGGGACATGAACCACGTAGGACGAGGGGTGCCAAACCTGGAAAATTAAAGCCATGGTATTTCACTTGAAATTAATCTCTCGACTACTTGGAAGGTAGAAGTCAGTTTAAAGTGGCTCGAGGCGTATCTTAATTCACGTTAGAGACAACTACATAAGTATCGAGATAAGTAGATGTACAGAAAGTAACTTCATCCGGTGGTTCTCGTTAGCTCTCCACCTCCTACTGCTCTCACCGAGGAGAAAATGAATCATTCGTATTCTCCGTTGTCTCACTTTTATTATACTCTCTCATGAGTGAAAGCGCTGAGGAAAGTTGGGAAGCAATTAAAATATTAGCATGATAAATTTACTTTTCAAACGGCGACCCACGGGATCGCAGGGCGCCTCACCAAGTGCGCACTTCATTTGACGTTTCAAGTAACGTAGGTCGTTGAGAGCGATGTTTAATTGGTCATCTGATACACGTGATCTTTGTTCAGCATCTTGGCCCATTACTGCTGCACAGATGAACAGGCTGATGATGAGTACCTGGAATGTCGACATCAGTCAGGAATTTTTCATTTTGGATCATCTCTTCACTGTGAATTTTTTATCTATTACACGTTACGTACATTCCAGCCGATATTATCCGGTGCAGCTTGGAGGTCTTAATAATCTAGTTTTCATAATAAACTTTATTGTCATTCATGAAAGTTAAGAATCTTAGACCCGCATATTCATTTTTGGAATAAAAAAATTATACAAGTTGGGAAATTTCTGTCTTATTGAATTTGGTTTTTGTACGGTATACAAAATATCTCTGTCGAATTTCCCTTCAAGTGTGAAATGTATTCACGAAAATTAAAACAAAGTGCAAACGGTAATGAGGTGAATACAGAAAAACTCGTTTGAACCTAACATTTCTCTCTGAAAAATTCATCTCCCCTTTCACACTGGCAAAAGAAGCACCATAATATTTCGAATGTTCTGGAAGCGCTGAGTAAAGTGAAAAAAAGTCCAAAGAAAATGATAAGGATCACTTATGCACACCCTAATTAATGTAAATCGTGGAAAGGCGAAATTTTCAAAGTTTAAACGACTTTCTTCACTAACTGAATACAGCACTCAGGCCAATCCGGAATTTTCATGAACTTCCAAAAAGTTTAAAATACTAGAAAAACTTTTTCCGAAAAAAAAAGAGTAAGGAAAAAAGAAAAAACACAGTTGCTCCCGCTGAATCGGATTCCGTTGATTTTCTTTTCAATTATTCGACTCCGGTGTTTAATTGCCGGAGAGGAGAGAATATACGAGCGTTCAATAAAAGTCTGTTTGTAGGAAAGCCCAGTAGTTTTTATGGTGCCCAGTAAAAAGACAATATTGAATCTCTCGAACAAACCAGAAGTGCAGCCACTGAACCATTATCACTTTAAATAATAATAATGATATCAGTTTGCATTTCATGAAACAAATATTGAGCAAACTCATCGGTTAGTCAAATCACGTGGCGTTATACTGCATATCCCCGGGAGTCAAGTGAGTTTCAAGTGTATGGAACAACAAACATGAATCGATAAATAAATCGATACCGACAATGCATTGTAAATAGCTAGTAGCACTCCCATTACGAATCAACGATTACGTACAATGGGATTTCTCGAGTGTAAAGCGGGTGGTACGGAGGGGGTGGGGTACGGAGAATCGGTAATTGAGAAAAAGTTGGAGACGTTGGGAGCCGTAAGAAGGATAAGTAGCAGTTTAACATTCAACTCGGTTTCAATCGGTTAAAAAATTCCGGCCATGCATCAATATTGCGCACGAATTCTCCGTGACATAGATTATCAGTGGAACAGTGTATGAACTACTGAATTATTGTCATCAAAAATTATATCGAAGATTCGAACGTCTCATTCTCGTATTCAATCTGCCTGGGATTTTTTTTTTATTTGTTATTTAAATCCTGGGAAAATGGAATCTGTCGGTTTCAAGGAGTTATCCACTTCTTGAAACGCTTGGGGAAATTGCGGAGACGATCGAAAATTTGAATAAGATTGTCGAGGTATTTTTACTTACTTTGGTAAACATTGTGGTACTCGATGGGATACTGCTGCTCGGTGGAAGAATTTTGATACTTTGCCGCGAAAACTCGGTTGAAAGGATCTGGTCGTGGCAACAGACGGTAACGCACTGAGCTGTCCAGGATCCTCTACGTTGAACCTGGTTTAAACCAATCCCCAGTGACAATCGCTGTTAAACTCCTCTCGCAACTAATTCTGTTAACGCACTGACGCGTTGTATTGCTTCACCGGTAAAAATTTATGGCAGCTCCAGTCGCAATGCCATCCGATTTTTCAATTACATCATTTCGAATTCATATTCAATTTATAATCGAATAAAAAATCATCATTCATCAACGTCTCATCGTGTCTCTCGGTTTAAAAATAAAAAAAAAAAATATTGCCCCATTTTTCAATAATTGCAAGATACAGAAATTTACTGGGTAATTTACTGGATTTACTGATTTGTTACAGAAGAATTTTCAGGTTTTGTCACTTTCCATTTTACGTGCAGTTTTTCAACAATTTTGTTGCACTCATTTCTCTCTCTCTCTCTCTCAGTAGAACTGTTCTTTGTATTTCCTATCCATAAATACGAAAGTCAATGCATCAAACTGTGGGACAAAGTGAGGTTTACCGATCATTTACAGCTGCATTATTCACTTTGGAATTGGAGTCTCTTGGGGCTTTTACGCTATTGAATTGAAGATTTTTCCTCCGCTTCGAAGAGCCAACGGAGATTTCCTGTCCCGCCAAAACAAAAATTTATCCGATTTTTCTCTCAACAATCCAGCATTTTTTATTCCAGAAATAATTGCAAATTAATAATAAAATCTTTACGAATCGTTTTAATGTCCATTTGATTTCGATTTTGTTTGAAAAAAAATTGGAGTCTCCTCTAATTTTATAATTTTTTCATAGAATTTCAATTTTGACCTTATACTTTCAAAT